TTGTGCAAGTGTGCCTTTAACTTTTAAAATGATATTAATAACTTGAAAACATCTGGCAAGAACCTACATGTAAATGTATGTAAGCTCAATAAGGAAATGCTTTGAAATTAATGACAAATGGATTTGCAGTGGTTGCTTTGCGGTGCGATGCAACATCGGTCGCCTCAGGTGTAGACAGTGTTACAGACCCAGCGATATATATATGGGTAAAACCTACACATAACACACTCACACTCTGAAATTGATAACAACAACAGATTTGGTGGGAAGAAATTTGCATATTAAGTCTCTCACAAAATTATGCAGTTTGTAACACTTTTAGAACAAATGTATCTATTTTACAAAGTAGGATTTACTAATACAAGTATTTGACATCTCATATACATTTAATTTCTGTATGTCTAGTGATGGAAAAGGCTTATGTACCCAAACATTTTGAATGTACACAAAATAAAGATGTTTTAAATTAGCTAAAATGCAATGCTGGGCATTAGGGGGTCAAAGTTTTCGATGTTTAATACAGTATTTAAATGGTCAAATAGTAACATTTCTTAACTCTTCATGATTATATCCTTACTGGTTCAAATATACTGTATTACCTTTTGAGTTCAAAAAGACTTTTCGGTATCAAAAAATAGTGAACCTTTGCACACTTAAATAAATATCACTTCTTAGGTCTCTGAGGGTGAAATGTTTGCATACATTTTCCATTCACCATGGCAACATTAATTCTGAAATAATGTAGCAATGCTGTATGATCTCAGTAAAGTGTGCCAGATTGTGCTGCATCCTCTAGAATCTAGTGCTTTGCATCCGACCCATGAAAAATCGTATATTCAACAACAATAACGTGGTGGATGTGTTTGCGACATTCCTTTAATTAATATAATTTCGCTTTAGTGCACAAGCAAATAAACAGCACTTAACAGTTAGTCATTTTCTATGAATTCTCTTATAGTATTCTAGCAAACATTGCTGCAAATTTGCAGTTAATATGCAAATGAACAGTTTGTGCAAGTGGGTAAATTTAAAGACTTCCTCAAAAGACAGTTATCTAATTTGTGATTCTGGAAAATGTGGGACTTTACCAACCAGATATAGAAAACGTGCTCCAACAGCTTTGGGCTACAGTAGACATACTGCCACTGCTGTGTTAATAGCTGTGTATGAGTTGGCGCTGTAATCTCAGTGCTTGACCAAGATTCTCTTACTGAAGTTCAACTGGTCCAAGGGAAAAAAAAAAAATATAATAATAAAACAATACACAACACTTCACTTCACTTTAACTTAGCCGGTTTTTTTTTGTTTGTTTGTTTTTATGCATAGATCGTGTTGAAATGAGAAATGTTTATTATAAATATTCTAATTAGTTTAATAATGAAAATAGATAGAATAACACCCCAAATTTTACATTTTTGTTTAATAAAATAAAAATAATTCCCATTTCATTATTTGTATGATTCTCTGGACATTGTAGAGTTTTCAGGGTTCAAACAGAGTTTTCAAGGTTTGGAATGTGCTTGAAAACACTTGATCTTTTTCTTAGAACTTCCAGTATAATAATAACAAATAAATAAATACAATTAAAAATGACTTTTTTCAAAGATCAAGTGCTGGAAAAGCGCTTGAATTCCACTCTAAAACAACTGTATGAACCCTATTCAAGTGCATTTCAAATCAGAAATTCCATTTCACTTGGGATACTGCCATCAATGAAAACTGCCTAATGTAGGTAGTAGGCTAATGTAGCTTAGTAGGTTTTGGAAAAGAGCTAGTGTGTCTTTTTTGATCATTCAGATGTAGGTGCACTCCCTGTTTGTGGTTTGTAATTTCATTGAAAGCTGAAATATGTTTGGCTGAATGCAGATGTTAAGTGTACAAGTGCATGCATATGTGTGTGAGAGTGGGAGTTTGACAGTCCCTATGATTGGCCTTTGACCTACTTTCTTTTCGTTCCTCATCTGTAATTGTGTCAGTATGACACTCATATCCCACTGAGAGACAAGGTTTCCACCTTGTATGCTGATTATCTTCTCAATCTCCTCTCATTCGGTTTATAGGCTTTTTTACACTGAATTGCGGTGTACGTGGCCACGATATTCTTTCTCTCCTCTGTTCTCCTCTCTCTGGCTCTCCTCCTGGCTTCTAACCAGTCGCTTGTTGTTGTTGGTTTTTCTTCCAACTTGGCAGCTGTGTGCTGAAGGAATGCTCTCTCTCACTCGCTCTCCTTCTCATTGTTTTATAGCTCTCCTCAGCGACAGGCTGGCCCCTTCACAAACGTGGGTAATTAAATGTTTCATTCTTTTTTAAACACTGCTGCTATGCTCCACTCCTTCTCCTCAGGTCTAAGATTAATAAACAGCCATGTTGATTTTGAACGAGGGCCCGCCAAGGCACACTTACCATTATAACTCACTGAACTCTGAGGGATATAAACTGTAAATATATGAAAAGTAGTGGTCGACCGATATATCGGCCGATATTTGGCATTTTTAAAATATCGGCATCGGCTGATAAGTTTTTCTGTTTGGCCAATGCGTTCGAGGCGGGACTTTTATTTTGACGGCGCGCCAGACTTTTATTTTGATGACGCTGAGAACGGCAGAGCCTGAGCACATAGTGCTCACATTCTCCCTCTTGTTCGCCGTCGTCGTTAACAGTTCTGTCTAATACGGATAGAAGTCTGTCTAATAATCCGATAGAACTGTTAAACAAAAGTACATAAGTTGTATATGAACTTAGACACTAAGACTCGGAATGATGTACAGGTAATGACTTTACCCAAGCTCATAAACACACATTGTTTCACAGTCATTCACTCACATTGTTTTGCAAAGCGTGACGGTCATGGGATGATCATTGGAATAGTAATAGGGCTCATATTTTCTGAAAATAGTTTCTAATACTACAGAAGTATTATCACTTCATGAAGTCGCGGCATTAGCATCTAGCTTAATTCATGATGTAAAATTGAATGCTACGTAAGGTTTTTTAAGGTTTCTTGTCCTTAAAGTTTCTTGTAGGAGTGCAACGGATCGTAGATGGTCCGTAATCCGTACGGATCAGGCTGCACGGTTCGGCACGCATGTGGTTCGCGGATTAACTGTTAAGTTTAACCATCGTAGAGTGAAAGTTTATCATTTGCACATGTTTTGTCTTGCCAATTTACACATTCAAGCAATTTTAACTCACGCACTGTATTCTATGTGCTCAGCCGCTGCCGCAAACACCCGAAGCGCGCACACGCAGAGAGACACCGTGTGAACAGCGAATTGATTCCTCTTTCACATACGCTCAAAGTTATGTTAAAATACCTGTTTTGGCGAGTACTGTAGTAAACGCAGTCGGTAATGTCTTAAATGAACGTAAACAGCTGCGAAAGAAACCGGATGTGTGTCAGTATTAGGTCCGTGCGTTTGGTCTTAAAGAGACAGCAGCCAATAAATACCTGCTTCTGTCTGCTAATCAAATAACACCACAGCTTTAACAGAGATTAATCTGTAATCTCTGTTAAAGAGAGCGGTGAGCACTATTGTGTAATTTTACACTTAATTATTACATTTCTGCACGTGAATACTACTGTTACTGACTTTATTTGTAACTGTTATGTTGTATTCATCTAATTTGTGTAACTGTTCGTGTTTTTTTACTGACTTTATTAGTTAAGATAGTAGTTTTTGCTGTGGTATAGTACTTAAAATAAGCTTTCAGAATTGTTTTTGCTGATCCGAAAAATTATCCGATCCATGACTCAAAATCCATAATATGATCCGAACCGTGAGTTTTGTGATCCGTTGCACCACTAGTTTCTTGGATTGGATTACTAAGCAATTTAAGGTCATACTCTTAAAATCAAGATACTTTTCAATCAGAGAACTAAGATTCCTCCTGTTTGATTTTGCAATGGTTTGTATTAGTGGCTGTATTAGTGACAATATTAGCTGTAAATAGATGCACATTTTAAAAATACACCAGCAATTGTATGCCATCCTGGCACTTTTGAGGATACTAGGATCTGAGACTAGTGGTTGACCAATATGGGGAATTTTGTCAGTTAGATGCTGTAACTACACCATTATCTTAGCAAAAAGTCTGCTTCTTCTTTGCCCATTCAAAACTAGCCGTATAGGTAGGTTTCTTATTATGAAAATAATATACTTTCAAGAATATACTTAATTGCAAATTGACTGTAATGCTTGCTGACATGTAATTGCATGTTAATTGCAATTAAATGATAATTTATTATAGTTTACATTTATATCAAATGCAATTAGCTGAACTAATTAGTGCAATTAGTAACAAGTGGGTAAAAAATACTTTTTTACCCACTTAAGTATTATGCAATTATAATTTTACATGTAATTTTCATAACATTTACATTACATTACATTACAAAAGCCTTAAAATGAAGTGTAACCCAAAGTTCTAATGAGCAAAGATGGCAGCATGCAAATTGTGTACTTCTGAGGCCACATGCTCCAGCCTAGCAACTGCCATTGAGCCTATCACTATTTCTACTCTTGCATACTATATGCTGTAGTATGCGAACCAGGACACTTGAGTTGTGAAATACAGTCTGTGTCAACCGGAATAGCCTCAGCAATTATATGGAATTGCAATTTACAGTCTTGTTTTGCATCTTGATGTCTTAAATCACGTGATGTGACAAATATTTCAGCATGTGCACTTCCAGCAGCCAGTGCGCGGTCATTTGAACGAGGGTTGCGGAGCTGTTGTAATTTGCTGTAGTGTGCGTGGCCGGTTTCTGGAAGCTTTGACACCTCCACGTGGTCTCCTCCCCTCTCCTGGCGCTCCCTTCCCCCCGTCCCAGCGCACAGTAAAACAACATACACTGTGTGTGTGGCTCAGTCGGAACGGCAGAGGTTAAAGACGTGCAAGCTTTAGCCACTCCCTTAGCCAACAACGATTTTCTTTTTTATTCCTTTATCTCCTCCTCCTCTAGTTTCCCTTGTTCTCTCTCACCCTCGCGCTCACTCGCTCGCCCTGGCTTTTGTGTGAGCGGACGTATGTGTGCAGCACTGTCCAGGAAAGAAAGAATGTGTGTGTGAGACGGAGAAAGAGAGACACAGACTGCAAAGAGACAGACAGACAGACAAAAAGGAGGACACAAGGAGAAGTGGACGAAGATTGCAGACGTATGCGCGAGCGGAGAATGGAAGACAGTATGACAGGATTAGCTCCAGTGTGCAACTCTACAGCCACGCTGAACCACCACTGCACCGGTAAAGCAGCACTGCGGGATTGTGGGGAGGGCTGTGTGTGTGTGAGACTGAATTTATGAAGGAGGTGTACTGAGATGCATGCGTGTCTGCGTGTGTGTGCGTGCGCAGTGTATTAGTATGTGTCTTCCTTTTTGTCATTTGGAGGTTCCCTTCTGCACACCACACAGAGAGGAAGTGTGTGTAACACTCTAACCTCACAACATTGATGCACCTCAGCCATGTATGTGTGTGTGTTTAGTGAGTAAAGCAGTTTATTTGAATGCTGGTCATCACCACACCGATAGAGAGCTTTGTGGGGTTATAGTCTTAGAAATAAAGGTTCTTTATTGGCATCAATGATTCCACAAAGAGCCTTTACCATCCATGGAATTCCACAAAAGGTTCTTTACAGTGGAAAAAGGTTCTTGAGATTATTAAAATGTTCTTCACACTAAGAAAAAATGGTTCTTTTAAGAACTGTTCACTGAAAGGTTCTTTAGGGAACCAAAACGGGTTCTTCTATGGCATCGCTGTAAAAACCCACTTTTGGAACCTTTATTTTTAAGAGTGTACTGTAGTTGTAAACCATAATTTAATATTTATGTTGGCTTGACAAACTTGGCATAGATTTTCTGCAAAAATACTCATTTGCTGTATCTTTTCTAACTCATTTAACTTAAGAGTATTCCCACAGCAGATGATTCAACGCAAAAATACTGTAGACTTACACTGAAGTTTTCTCATTGTTTAAACTCAATGCAACAAACTTAGCACAGAACTTTATGCTGTTGAGTTATTACGCTTTATTTTTTCAAACCATTAAACTTGCACATTTACTTAGTGTTAGCAGATCCTTGGACTTTTGTTGAGGAAATGGGTACACTGGAGGATTTCTCATTTAATATTTTAGTTAGAAATGAAATATGTTGAAAGTTGAAAACGGCGTTCTAAGTGTAAAATAGTGATTCATATTTAGAGCTGTTTGTTTCAGTTTGGTGTGAAATTTCAGGTTTATACTATCATTTAAAAGTTTGGGGTCAGTAAGATTTTATTCAGCAAGGACACTTTAAATTGAACAAAAGTGACATTAAAGACATTTATAATGTTACAAAAGATTTCTATTTTAAGTAAATCTATTACAGTTTCCACAAAAACATTAAGAAGCATGACTGTTTTTTTACAGTGATCCTAAACAGAGATGTTTCTTGAGCAGTAAATCAGCATATTAGAATGATTTCTGAAGGATCATGTGACACTGAAGACTGAAAATGCTGAAAATCCAGCTTTGCATCACAGGAATAAATTAAAATAGAAAAAGTTATTTTAAATGGTAATTTAAATGGTGTTTTTGGTCAAATAAATGTAGCTTTGGTGAGCATAGGAGTCTTCTTTCAAAAACATCAACAACTTTTACTGACCCCAAACTTTTGAGTTTGCAGTGTGCATCATGTCTGTAAACTGAATAAGATCTAGTAACTAAGGCTGCATGTATTCTGTATTTGCTTAAACATATTTTTCGGATTATATATAGGACTTTCTTCTTAATGAAACTCTTGATGAAACTAGTTAGATCCATGAGGTAGTTATACCTCAAACCATGAGATTCATTCACATAGTAAAGCAGCAGAACATCAAAGACTTGTTAAAATGTTTCTCTGCAAAGAATACATATTTCTGTCTGTCTATTTCGCTCTCTGTCTGTCTTTTTCTCTTCTGTCTATACGGTCTATATAACCTTCAATCCTCAAGGATTTTAAAACATTTTCGAACTTCCAGATAAGGCTTTCTCAAGTCAGCATTCAAGGATTATCTTGACAAACTGTCTTTTTCTTAGTTGATGTTTTTTTCTAGCGTGCGTGTGTGTAGATGCTTGTATTTGTGTCTTGTGGCTTTTTATTGGGATGCCACGTCTGTACAGTCTGTTTGTGGTGTCTCATTCATGGTGAACTGGCTTGGGGGAATATAAGCAAATCTCTTTGTAAATGTGTGTGTGTAAAAGTGTGTGTGTGACTGGTTAGGGTTAGAGTATTACTACTGAGGATGTGACACAGAAATACTCGGGTTAAGTGGCTGAATGTGGGCAGAATACTGCCTCTGGTCAGGGTGTTTCTTCCTTTCATTGTAATAAATGCTGGTTAAAGAATCAATAAAAAAGTGAACGATTAACTAATGTGTGTGTGTGTGTGTGTGTGTTTGGTTGCACACACACCATTTGTGAATCTACCTGTAGTATGTGTTCAGCTGGTGTTCGGATTGTGTTTGTCTTCTTGCAGATGGTACACAAGCTTTTCTGTCTACTTCCTTCTCTGTCTCACTTTTCCTTTGTTTTTTCTTTTCTCATATTCTTTAATGAAAGCTGAAGTGTGTGATATTTTTTAAAAAAAATGGTAAAACACTTTCTCCCATCTGGGTTTGTATGCAGAGACAACTGTAAGTAAACCATTACAGGTTTATTTCCTCTAAGTGTAAACACTGTATCTCTGTGGCGCTTTCAAAACATTGCTCTGTTTGTTTAAGCATCCAGACCAGCCCCGAACGGCAACAAAGGCTCGACCAATAGCGTGAGTGTGGGGTTTGTCTGACCATTTGTAGATGATGGAAACCTGTTTGAAAACATTATTTTTTGCAGTTTTGCAGAAAAGACACTTCAGTTTTTTTTAAGGCAATGAAAAAAGGCAAAATGAAACGTTGCATGACAGTTGCGTAACCATTATACTACAAAAGTTCATCTCTCTCTCTCTCTCTCTCTCTCTCTCTCTCGCTCTCTCTCTCTCTAATATCTCTTTTATCTTTTCACATCGTTCATAAGCATGCTGACAAACAGCACAATTGGACAGACCATCTACTGTGAATAGACTTTTATGGTTTTATGTAGAGCTCATATGGCTGTGCGATATTAAAATAATTGAAATATTACAAATGTACAAATCCTCACATGCATATTGTGATGACTTACAATAGCTGAATGATTGCTGAATGCTGAAAAATTTCAGAGAAGACTGGTCATGCAGCTGTATAAATACTAATTAAATTGATTATTTCATGACTAAATAAACAAACAAACTTTATATGAAGCATTTTTGTACCATTTTTACAAATGAGGACGTCCCCACAATGAGGTATCATCAGACTGTTGAGTACAAATTTGTCCTCAAAATATGGTTAGGTAGCTACACGCGTTCACACACACACACACACACACACACACAGGTTTTTGAATAACCGTCTGCTTGTATTTGGCGCTGGAGTTGAAGTACGTTAGGCGAGATTCCAGCTGAGAGAATCTCTCAGACAACTTTCACAGATGGACAACTGCTGTCTGCTGTGTGTGTGTTTGTGTAGGACGTGTTAGTGTGTTTAAGTTTATCTAGCGGTCAGAGGTTAGTTTGAAATTGTGCAATAGATATCTAAACTTTGTGAACATGTGAATAGAAACTTCTAGTTGTTCCGCTTATGTTTGCCTGGACGTCTGCACAGATATAAATAACTATAAATATATGAAGAGTTTGGTTCCAAAACGCTATAAATCCATTTTGATTAATTTGAGTAAAAATGTAAACATTTTATTTACCAAGAAAGTGGAAAGATGAAAACCACTATTTTCTGTTTCAAACTTTCACATAGCATCTTTAGGTTATAATAACATTAAAAATTCAAATCCAGATTTAGATTTTTCAAAGATTTATTATACAATTTTATTAGTTTTTCCCAAAATGCAATAAATCCATGACACGGTTTTTTTTTAAATTTTTTTTCAAAATGCAATAAATCCACTGAATCAATATAAAAGTTATTTTTCATATTGAAACAGTTGAAAATACTCAACATGGTTAATCCACATATGACAGCCTCTGAACTTGGTCAATGCTAATCTTATATACTGGCACTGGACTAAAAATACATTCAATCAGTCATCGCTCCCAAAATGAATTCAACAGGTCATCTTGTTAATGCTATAAATTAATTACAGCAATAAAAGAAAATTTCATCATGAACAAGAACATGAACAACAATATCACATTAGACCACAGAAATTCCAAAATGACATTTCTCTTACATTTAACTTCCAAAAGTGCATTCATCTTTGGCATGTTACATTCATTTAGTTGACTAGTGCTATACGCTGTATTAACAAAAACAAAAATGGCATTAATAAAAACACACTGACAAGCTACGCAATATCGTGTTCATAATCAAATGC